TGAAGTTGTCAAGGACTTCATTCTTCTTGGATCAACTATCAACAAATATATATATATTGTTGTTGTTGGGCCGAACTTCACAATCATCTGTGGAATTCTTCAAATCAGTTGAGGCCTGGCTTCTTCCACCAGAGATTCTGGGATACTGAATCTCGAGGCTTTTTTTTTTTAAATCTTCTTCAGTGATGCTAATTTGCAGCAACATTTGAGAACCACTAGATGGTTGGCATTGGGTTCTAGTTTTAAACAAAATACCCTAGGTTGTGTACTGTGGGGCTCTGGGGCCTTCCTTGCAAACCATCAATCTCGCTACTGTTTAAAGAGTGGCCACAGCCCTGGGTGACTCCTGGTCTCTGCTTGGAGGGACTGGATGGATAATTTCTCCTGTGTTGCTCACATGCCACTGCGTAGCAGTGAAAATGGATTTTCCTTGTTCCTCTAGGAGAGCTGACGTTTCCAGAACAGTTGCAATAGGCTGAAAGACAGGCGGTTGTTTGCCGATGGTGAGCCTGGAGTACATAGGACTCCTGGCTGTGAGCTTACACAGGGACAGAGCAAGGAGGCGAAGCAGAGATGTTCTGTACCCATTTTTTCTTGTAGTTCCCAGCATGCCTCACTTTTGGGTCAGCACCAAACTAGGAAACCTTTTGTGTGGTTCAGGCTAGAAGCTCTTGGTCGCCCAAAGCAGACATTTAAAACTACTGAAAATCAGTAAGGCAGGTCCCATGGACCGGTTAGTAAGTAAGAGCTGGATGTAAAGGGTCCTATACTGGACAGTGAACCACAAGGGCCCCAGTTCGAACCCGCCAGCCAATCCGAGGGAGAAAGATGACGCTTTCTGCTCCTGTGAAGATTTAAAGCCCTGGAAACAGGGTTGTTATGAGCCGGAACCAACTCGACGGCACTTGGCAACAACCACCACAGATGCAAAGGAAAGGAATCCTGGTGGTAAAGTGCTTAAAGCGTTTGGTGGTTTGAACCCAGAACCCATCAGCAGTACTGAGGAAGAAAGATGTGGCAGTCTCCTTTCCTAAAGATTTGCTGCCTTGGAAAGCCTATGGGGCAGTTCTACCCTGACCTGTGGGGCAGTTCTAACCCTGACCTCTGGGGCTGCTAGGAGTTGGAAATGATTTGACAGCCAAGGGTTTTGGGTTGGGTGTGGCTACCAGAAATGGTCTTAGAAACTGCTTACAAGTTGCCCACAAGTTCCTTGCCCCCTAAAAACCTTTAAAGAAACCCCTCCTGGGGTCCCTTGGGAGATGCTTACCGCAGGGCATCCAGATGTACCTCAGAGGAAAGGCGTGGTGATCTCCTTCTGAGAATTCAGCCACTGAGACCCCATGGAGCCCAGCTCTTCTCTGACACACACACGGTCACCGTGAGTCAGAACTGACTCAGTGGCAACTGGGAAAAACCCAACAACCCAG